CGCTGCGTCGGAGCTGTCACGCTCAGCGGCTTTGCACGTGTGACTGCTCCACAAAATTTGCTGCGGTGTAAAATATATCGCAACAAAATATTTCGGTGCAGCGTCGGACCAAATGTGTGCCGTGTGAACAGGGCTTATGACTCCTCTTAGGAGTGCATTGTGTAGATGTTTCCGCCCCCCTTCATTAGAAGTTTGTGTAACAGGCTACTCCCTAAGACAATAAAAGCAGGAGATGAGCGCAACTTCCCAGAGCTGTCCCGAGACTGTAACGGTTTACACATCTCTGCTTGCTCCGGAGCTGTTCTGATATCATAAACCTAGACACGTCTCAACGCACTCTCCTTGCAAGAAAGACAACTCTGTTTGACTCGTCGTCTCTCTTTGTGTCTTTAAATGTGTCTTAAGGGTCTGATTGCCTTCTAGACCTGACAGCACGATTGCTTAAAAATATGCAATAGCAGGGGTGCACCTGTGGAGAATTTCCACATGCTGATGGGATTGAGGATTTAACCGCTGGTCACAATCATAGTATTAATGGGCCATGAGTTAGGGTTGGATGCTTATGGAAAAAAGAATAACCATGATCATTTTGATTGAGATTGAAATCACGACTATTAAAATGATTATTCACGGATTTTAAAACCTACTACTGTATCTATTCAACAAATAAAACTCAACCACGTATAAACTATCTTGTGGATTGTATTTCATGTCATACCATTTAGGAATGTATGTTGATACGACAAAAAAGTCGTTAAATCTTTGTATCTTCATATTTGGAAGAAAATTCCTTGAATCCTTGAAAAATCAAATAAATATAACTTCAAAGGGCAATGACAAAATACATTTGTAAGATAAGAACATTCTGCAATAGTAGCAATTGTAAAAACAAATACTGGGTGTTCCTGCGCATTGTATGGCCTCTGGAGACACTAAGTAGACATTGAATGCGAGCAGAAGTTGTGATTGAATTCTATAAATCGCACTCGTTTTTCACAGACTGGGAAGAATTTGTGCCTTCGAGTAGTGTTACCTCACCTGTGTTTATGTGATTCCACAGCGTTTGTGTGTGATTACCGGTATTCATTATTTGAAGGCATTAGAATGGGAGCCTCCATTTACTTTAGCATAAGCGCTTGTGATGTTTTAATAACAAACATGGTTTGTTTTGAAATATAAAATGTGTGTAGTTCTTTTGGATGTGTGTTTACTAAACACAGTTTAGTTTTACAGTAAACTCCAACAAGGGAGTCAAAAACATCTTAAATCACGCTCGGGATGGCTAAATCACCTCCGCCACACGCTTGGACGCAGCAACACGGTGCATTCAAGGTACTTTCACAACATCGGTAACTTGGAAAAGTACCGTGCCGTTCTCCTCATTAATAGTTTTTCTTCGAGTTTTATCCATCCATCCTCCCATCCATTTTCCGATGCTCCTATCTTCACAAGGGTCACAGGGCGTGCTGGAGCCTATCTAAGCTGTCTTGATGCAATGAGCGGGACTCCCTGAACTGGTTGCCAGCCAATCGCAGGGCTCATATAGACGAACAACCATCCACGCTCACACTCATACCTCGGGACAATTTAGAGTGTTCAGTCATCCTGACATGCGTGTTTTTGGAATGTGGCAGGAAACCGGAGTACCTGGAGAAAACCCAGGCAGGCACGGGGAGAACATGCAAACTCGACACAGGAAGGCCGGAGCCGGAACCGAACCCTGCACCTCTGCACTGTGAGGCTGATGCGCTAACCAGTCGACCACCGGGCCACCCTTCTTTGTTTGTTAACATTTTAAATATTGAGAGAAGCCAAAACCGATTTAGATTAATCATCCAACACTGGCGTGACTGATAGATTATTTTTGGCATTTGATGCACCACGCACAGTGTGTTGCTGAGCAACCTGGTCAACTCAATTTGCGCAATATCCTAAGCGTTCAGGTTTTGTGATTAAATTGCTTATATTTGATATATTGAAAGTGAATGCAAAAATACAAGTTCCTTCAGCATAGCCTGTAGTTGAACCGCACACATCACTGGTGATAACCTCCGGATCCACAACGCAAATTAATTTCAAAGCCAAATTACGACATATTTTCAAAAAGGATCTTGATGGAATTCTTATCATTAATGGAAACTCAACGATAAGGAAATTGGGTCACCCTTAGACTTCACCAAATCATGGATTTGTCAGAAGACTGACTAGGACTTCGGTGTCCATCAGAAATTCCTCCATAAACTTCAACTGGTCCAGAATTCTATTCTTCAGCCCGGATCATGACTAGAACCCCCTCCTTTCATCACATCACCCCCATCCTCCGACAGCTCCACTGGCTCCCTGTCAATCTTAGAATCAACTTCAAAATACTCCTCTATACATTTAAAGCCATCCATAACCTTGCCCCCCCCCTCTTATCTGTCTGACCTTCTTCAAATTTCTGTTCCCTCTCGTTCCCTCAGGTCTTCATCCTCCCTCCACCTTTGTGTACCCTCTACCCGTCTCAACACGATGGGGTGCAGAGCTTTCAGCCGCTCTGCCCCCAAACTCTGGAACTCACTCCGACCCAACATCCGAAATATTGATTCTCTTCCCACATTCAAATCCCATCTCAAAACCCACCTATTCAAAACCGCATACTCAGTTTAAATTCATCTCTTCTTTTATTATTTATAATTTTATCTGTGGTTTTATTGTTCTTGTTTTGATTGTAAGGTCTCCTTGAGTCTTTTGAAAGGTGCTTATAAATAAAATGTTTTATTATTATTATTATTAGGAGGTTTGCGGCATCTGGAAAGTGTGCAAGAAAGGCGCTTCATTCATAAATTGACTTCAACGTGAATGGAAGATTATGTCTCATAATGTACAATGCATTAATTATTTTTTAATGGACACATCACATTTTATAACGCTCACTTTAGATTTTGTGGCAATAAACTGTTCAGTGAGCGTGCATACCCAAAGTAAAAAACAAAAACAATCACACAAATACAGACCTTGCTGTAGGGAAATGTCATCCAAACTTTTAGGGAGGGCTTCAGTCCAATTACCAGAATCTGGTGATAGCATAAAAAACAGAACTTATGATCAACTTGCTTCGTGTCAAAGATGAGTGACGTAGATGCACAGGTGTACCTTCGTGAGGGAAGCCAAAGCCAACAGAGAATAATGTGTTATTGGGTGGTCACTGAAGTCTGGACATGCACGCAGTGGTTCAATACAGCAGACTTCCCCTTTGGAACCACTGAATAGGCATCTTGAGTCACAGGAACGCATGCCCATTACTCTCCTGGAAGCAAAAATAAATATTTAGCATGAAGAGAAGCACACCAAAATGACAAAAGGAATCTCAAATGACATTTTATCATGTTGCCTTGTGCTTGCAAAGTTTGCTGTCATTCTTGAAAATATTAGCATGAAGTGATCTGAAATAATGCGATTAGTTGGAAGCATAAGCAGGGAGGTCTGGCAAAGCAAACTTTTTGCGGTCCAACAATTTTTTTACTTTTCCTAATCTGTACAAAAATAAGGCTTCCTTGCTAGTTTTAATAGAAATCGCATTGTTAACATTTTTTGATTCCCTTTACTATCCATTAGAAATTATTGTAATGTTTTACAGATCATCTGTAAAGCGTTCCTGATGTACATTTCAAATTTGTTATTTCCATATGAGCTCGGGCTGACCGATATATAATTTTTCATATCACTATCTACATATAAACATACAAGGTATGTGTAGAGGAGGGGATCTGCCCAATTCCTTAAGGCCCTCCTTGGACACAGGTTCTTTTATTTCTCTATAAGGTGGAAGCAGACGCAACACCACGTCGTCTTTTCTTCAGTTTATCACAACGCAACACAAATCGATTCGGGCTTCTGAGAGTTTCAGATCTTGTCAGCAAGCGTAGAAAAAATGCAGTCATGAGAATATATAGGGACAATATGATAATGAGAGGCGGGCAGTTATGCCTCCATGCAAATCCTGGAAACAAAGAAATGTACATGTCATCTGACCCAGTGTAGCTGGAAAAGTTGGGAGTGGTGAGGTGAGACCAGATCACCACTACCCACTATTGTCTTCGGTCTGATCTTCGGTGTGATGGCAGGAACACAGATGCTTGAGATAACAGTTACTCTTTTGATGTCAAACATGTCCTCTGGAGGGGGCCCTAAAAGTGGTGGGGGTCGAGGGGCACTGAAGGTGATTGTAATCACAGTGAGCAGTAAATACCTCCAAAAGCATGCTACATTCTTTGTTTTCGTGTTTGAACAGAACCAACAACAGAGTGGGGCTAAATGAAATCACAGTTGGGAATTAATTCCTTAACATATGTATATTGTAAAATCAATAACATAATGAGGCCCCAGCTTGGTTTTCTGGACAATGGGGCCATTTCCTAGTGGGCCGCTTTCTATTGGCAGAGTTCGGGGGCCACTATTCTGGCCTGCAAATTAATTTCTTCTGGCCAATGAATCTGTTTTGAAATATACTGTAACAAATAAATGAACATTTAAATCTATTATAGCCTTCTCATACAAATGCACAAGTCATGATTGACTTGATCCTTGCAAGCCATTGAATTATATACAGCAGGAACTGCACTCACCTCCTTTGTTTGTAAGGGTGTCATCAAGTCACATTAATCGACAAGAAACAACACCACTGTAACTTGACTACACCCTGTCTCTAACAACAAAATACTATGAAGAGGGTTCCCGGCCAAAAAGTCGACCAATTGAATCGCAAAAAAAATGGTTGAGGCAAAACATTTTATCATGTGACGTCAATTATTACAACCCTTTGTATGATTATTTTTATATTTTTCTGAAAAAAATGCTTGGTTTTCAATGAACCCATCATTATATCGATAAATCTAAAATGAACATCTCCATTGAACAATATAAAAACAACACGTTTGTTTTTGCTCCCATTTTTCATGAGTTGGACTCAAAGATCTCAATCTTTTTCTCCAAGATGACCCATCCCACCTCTCACGTGTGATTATTGCACAGGTATGCAGTAGGCCGGCCACAATGAAAGGCCCCCCTGAAATGTGCAGTTTTATCACACAACAATGCCACAGATTTTGCAAGTTTTCAGGAAGTGTGTCAATGGCATGCCGACTGCGGGAATGTCTACCAGAGCACTCTTGCTTGAAAATTTAATCTTCATTTCTCCACCACAAGTTGTCAGTAAATCCAACTGGCCTCACAAGCACAGACCACGTGTAACCACACCAGCCCAAGACCTTCACATTCAGCAAATTCACCCCCACAATCCTCGGGGACAAGCCACCCGGACAGCCACTTCAAAAATCGGTTTGCATATCCAAACGATTTCTGCATAAACTGTCAGAAGCTCACGGAAGCTTATCTGCATGCTCGTCCTCATCGGTGTCTCGACTAGAGTGCAGCTGGTCGTCACAACCGACTTGAGTGAATCGCATTTTTCACTGTTCAGGGCAGATGGCAGAGAGCGCGTGTGGCGTCGTGTGGGTGAGTGGTTTGCTGATGTCGACGTCGTGGATCGAGTCACCCACGCAGGTGGCAGTGGGGTTATGGTATGGGCAGGCATATGTTATGAACCAAGAACACAGGTGTGTTTTATAGATGACAATTTCAAACGCACAGGTAACGTGATGAGATCCTGAGGCTCATTGTTGGGCTATTCATCCACGACCCTCACGTCATACTGCAGCATGATAATGCACGGCCCCATATTGCAAAGATCTGTAAACAATTGGTGGTAGCTGAAAACATCCTAGTTCTTTCATGGCCAGCACACTCACCGGACATGTCACCCATTGAGCATGTTTGAGATACTCGGGATTGGCGTAGACAACAGCGTGTTCCAATTCCTGCCCATATTCAGCAATTTCGCATAGCCATCGAAGAGGAGTGGACCAACATCGCACAGGACATAATGTGATCACAGCCTGATCAACTCAATGCAAAGGAAATGTACTGCACTGCGAGAGGCAAATGATTGTCACACCAGATACTGCCTAGTCAGATTTGTGACCAATATTTGAGGGCCCTTTGTGTATGTAGAAAAAGTTTAATATCTTCAAGTCCAGCTCATGAAAAATTGAAGCAAAGGTGTTGTTTATATTTTTGTTCAGTTTAGATTTTAACCCTGGAGAACCCACGGGGTCAAATGTGGCCCCTATAAATTCTGCTACTCAAATGCTACCCTTAAATCCCAAAGGGTCAAATTTGGCCCTAATCCTAAATTAGGATTAGAGCATTGAATATTTGAAAAAACATATATTTTGGTGTTCAGTGAACATATAGCAGTCATTTAATGTATCATTCATAACTTTCCAAAGAAGAAAATGGTTCTTGGGTTCTCCAGGGTTAATAATGGTAATATTGTTCAGCTGTAAAGTGAGCCATAAAATCCTCAATCATGTACAATAAATTGGTCAAGACAAATCATTTACCTGAAAGCCAGCTCAAAAACCGATCCGCCACTATCGCTGCAAACTGCAAGTGTCGGGTCATCTGTGAACTTGGAACATAAAAATAGAAAAAGAAGGGAACAAGGAATAAGCAATTAGTTTTCAAACATAAATAATGACAGTGAATGACAATTCAGAGACTGAAAAATTGTACGTTCATCCTTAATTTATTATTATTAATCTATGTTCATGCCAGAGATCCTGCATCTGTATGCCTGCCTGGTTTGCATTGTTTCTTGCCTGGGTGAATCGCGCTCCTGTCGACCTTTGGTCACACTGCCTGGATTTAGCACCTTGGTTTACCCTTGAACAACAATAAACATTCCTCATGGAAACCTGCCTTTGGCTGACCTGGAATTGGTCTTGAGTCTGTTTGTTGTTCTTGAGTCTGTTCGTTGTAACGCAAAATCGTTAACTTCATGAAGATATTTTCTTTGGAATCACTCTCACTAAGATCACTAATTACCAAATCTGAGCGGGATCAGTTGATCTGATGAGCTCGAAGAAACAACATAGAAAAACTCAAACAAAATCTCAAATTTATACCCTGGGTTCCTCCAGGCTTTTTAAGCCCTATTTTAAGACAATATCCATCCATCCATTCACCCATTTTCCATCCGTTTTATTCTCACAAGGGTCGCAGGGACTGCTGGAGCCTATCCCAGCCGTCTTCGGGCTGTAGGCGGGGCACACCCTGAACCGGTTGCCAGCCAATTGCAGGGCACACAGAGACGAACAACCATCTGCGCTCACACTCAGACCTAGGGACAATTTAGAGTGTTCAATCAGCATTCCACGCATGTTTTTGGAATGTAGGAGGAAACCGGAGTACCCGGAGAAATCCCACACAGGCCCGGGGAGAACATGCAAACCCCACACAGGAAGGCCGGAGCCGGGATCGAACCCACGGCCTCTGCATTGTGAGGTCGACGCGCCAACCACTCAACCACTGGGCCACTTATTTAAGACAATATTTTTTTTATAAATAGATAAATACCTATTCCACAGCCAAATCGGCAAAGAAAAACAAAATCTGTGAAATTGTGTTACTTCTCAAACATTGGAAAATGCAGGGCTCCAGACTGCACCTAAACGGTCGCATTTAGCCTCAAAATTTAAGACCGCGCTTGGGGTGTTACGCTTCACAAAATACACAGTTCGGTTCCGTTCTCAGTTTTGTGCTCACAGTTTTTGGTTCGGTTTGGTATGCGTTGACTCTTAGAAATATCAGTTGCCTTTTAGCTAAATGTTAAAGGGTAAATCCTCATCATTATTTTATTATTTAAATGATCATGACTGTTTTTCTATTTCTGACAGTGGCATATAGCAGCCGGCATCACAAATAACTTTTTTCCGCTTGGATGGCAATAGATACAATTAACCTGTGTATCCATCTGTTCCCATTAATACAACAGAATAAGTCATGGTTCCATGCAAATACATCAGCTTTGTATTTAACAGAACAAAGCTACATTTCACACTTTGTACATTTGTGACTAAACTGAGACAAGATCATTATTACAGTATGCAAACTTTTAGTCTTGTTTGTTTAAAGAGGTCTTATATGATGCACATACAATAGACTAAAATGTGTCTGAATTCATATCTAATATGGTTGCAGTGATGATTATGTGTAAATTACTCTCTCCTTAATGATAATTATGTGTGAATGAGCTCAGCTTGCGCATGAAGAACATTTGCGTCTTCCTCTCGTCATTCCCGGGACATGTACACAACAATTTTCATCCTTTTGATGATATATACCAACACACTGGATATCAAATTAAATTACATTAATTGCAGACTTTCATCTTTAATTTGAGGGAATTGATGGTACATTCAAATCAGGTAACCAATGTCGCAGTTATTGATGGTGTACATGCCTCACAGTTTAGCAATGGGGGGCCAGCTAGCTACATGCTAGCACTGAATATCCTCGGGTTAAATCAGTTATTGATGGTGTACATGCCTCACAGTTTAGCACTGAATATCCTCGGGTTAAACCAAGTTTCCGTCAGAAACAAAACACCTCGGTCTTGAACACAGCAATTTGCAGCCAGTTGTGATTCCAACATCTGTGTTAAGTTGTCAAAAGCCTTCCACACCTAGACAGCGCGAGTACATTTATCACCCACTCGTACTTGTGCGACCTGTAAATTTGACCCTTTTTAAAGAACCTGTGTTATGAAATTAACACTGGCGGCGACCAGAGGAGTTAATTTACTAAAGAGGAAGTGTTTTGTCAGTCATTTGGAATCAGAGCAGCAAACATTACACTATAAAGTAGGTTCAGTGTCTGTTCAGACCAAATTAGCAATTATTTCAGCATGGAAAATAGACGCTGCGGCAAAATGATTTGTGTGTGACGTGGGTTCGACAACTCCCGCTAAGAACATGAGCAGAGTTAATTCCCACATTTACTCATGACAAGGAGTCGATTGCTCAAAACATGGACAAAGTTGTCAGGTGATGCATTGAAAAATCACTGTTCAACATGTTCCAAACTTCCTTGCTACAAGCAAAACCATGGCGAACGTCTGAAGAACGTTTGGGCAAGATTGTGGGCGCATGTTTCCCGCCTTGAAGGAACCCTGACAAGAATGCAACATTTGCTACCTTTGCGAACACTCACAAACGTTTATCCCGCAGCGAAAAGGCTTTTTCCGCAGTCACAAGTTTAACCATTCTTATGTTTTTTCTTAAATAAATCATGGTGGTTGATTTCTCTGTAAGGTGAAAATTACGTTAGCGAAAAGCGGGCTGGCAAATAGCTTCTTCATAGCAGGATGCCGCATGTTTCTGACAGCTCAAATGTTTCTTTGTAAGCATTATTCTTTGTAAATATTTCTTCTACTTACAATTTTATAAACATTTTATCAACTGGTTGCACAGGATACGTGATGTGGCTTACCTTTACGTGCAGGATTGCTGTGCCCGGAGGGTGTGCATCAGTGATCGTCCTAAGAAGTTTCCCATTGGCAAGATCCCACATGGTAATCTCATCAAAGAACAAAACAAGAAATTATTATCAAGCTCGAATTGTGAATCACAAAAAACACGGTGCATTGTGTGTTGTCTCAGTGAAATATCAGTAAGGCAATTGAGATGATGCAGCCAGTCTAATCTTTAAAAAAAAGAAGGGGAAAAAAAAGTACCAATATGATGTTTGACCACTGCTACCTTGGTTGTCTTTTAAAGCTATTTGTTTATTTATTTTATTTTTATTTAACATATTTTATATTTATGTCTTATGTAATTTTACGTAAATTTTAGCTGTGTGTTCAATGCACTACATGTTTACACTGTGGTTGAGAGAGGAAAGTAATTTCATCTGTGCTGTCTTACACATAGAGTATATTTGACAATAAAAGCTGACTTGACTTGACTACCTCAAGCATCTTATGTCAGAAATTATTGCATCTCGTATTTCGAGTTGCGATGTTTAGTGTTAACCTCCTTTATGATTGGATTCCAAAGACATTGCATTTTATATTTCCTTGTGTAGTCTCGATGTGATCTTGAAATTGGTTTTGAAACCTCTGTGTGTGATGAATATGTGAAGAAGTCTATATGTCAGACACTTAGACTGGTTTCTTTGCCATAGAAAGAAACTGCAACAAAATGGAGATCTGGTTCTTCTCATCCTGAATTGCGGTCACAATGTTGACATAATCATTACAAATAGACCAAGGTGAATAAAACTTAAATGCTCGAGATTGATCTTTGTCTCATACCTGCCCATAAACATTCTCGCAGGATTTTAGAGGCTCATACAAGTATGTACTATACTGTTGATTGTAATCTTCTCACTTGTACCATTGAACATTTTTACTGATATCAGTAACAGCTGTCTTGGGGTCTTATTTTGAGTGCAAGACCTGTGCTGAAAGGATGGCCTCTTGTCCTATTGTCATCGTTTGAGTTCAACCCAAATGATCTCAGTCTACAGCAAAAATAAAGTTGTTGGCCTCACTGTCGCACAAATTTCAGAGGGAAATGTACCGGATATGTACCGTACAATGTCTAGAGCAGGGGTCACCAACCGGTAGCCCTCAAGGACCACATGAGTAGCAAGCGCGCCTGTTCTAGAAAGAGCTCACCGGTGATTGGGCATTATTGTTGTAGAAGTGCTTATTTGAAAATGATCAAACACTGACAGAGACTTATAGAAATTCAGTGTTGCATATATCTATTTATTTCATAATTCTGATGAGAAATTATTAACATGCTAAATGTGAATAGCATTCATTATTGATAATAACATATGCCTGTAAATTTACTTCAAACACATTTCAGAAGTGTACAGTATATCTATATATATATATATATCTTGCATTAATCAGTACTCAAGAGCTAGCTCTTCCTTTCAAAAATGCTGGTGACCCCTGCTCTAGAGTTATTACCACTGCACTGATTGTACAAATATCAATGTACCATAATATTTCATTCTATACCATACTTTATCTTCTACATTAATTGAATGAACGTAGAAATAATTTTCCTCTGCAGCTTTTGATCAGGCCTTTAACGATTAAAATTTTAAAAATAGTTTCGGGAGTGTTGCATTTATGTTGCTTGGTGTTCCTAGTCATATTTTTTTAGATGTTGTCATGTTTTGCACTGTGAAGATGTAAAAAGATAAAAATAAAAACTGAAGTTGTTACCCAAATTCTGTACCAAAAAGGTATGCACGCTTGCTTGTGACAAAATGAAAACTGAGAGCAGATTTGACAACCCCCCCAAAAAAACCCTTTATGATTAAGTTTGTACCTGTCCTTTTGCAAACCCACAGAGAAGTCTTGAGCAATCATTGTTGATGCTGAGGGCAGAGATCGCACCAAACTCCGCACCAGTTGTTTTTGTTCCAAGACAGAGCCTTAACGCTTGGTTGTTATCTGGAGAGGACAGTTAAAATGGTTATAATCAAAGCCAGGCTCATACACATTTTTCACAGTATTTTAATCAAAGATTGGAACGGAGCTGAAAAATTACAAATCTAGATTTGGCTTACCAAAGACCAAAGCCAGACCGTGAGACGTTCCCACAACAATCACCCCTGCAACTGTCTGAAGAAATGAAACAACATGAGTGAGTAACAACATCATGAGTAAATCCAACAAACAAACTACACAGCTAATTCGCAAGTATTATATTTCCAGTCTAATTCAATTCTGTGGGAGAGTCAGTTCCTCAAAAGAGTTCGGTGTTAATCACGGGAGTTCACTCTGTCGAGTGTATGCTCAAACATCAACGCCTTACAGAGTTCCTGCTAGAATTCAAACGCATCTGTGACATGTTTTCTGAAAGAGTAGTAACAGCAGACAACTATTTTCACTTCTTTCAACTTTACTGCTTGTCTGACATCCAACAACTAAGGCTTGTCCAAGTCACCGTGTGGGTTTGAGGTTCATTTTAATGCTAGCAAAGGTCACCACAGAGGAGTTGAATTCACGCTTCCAAAATTGCTGTGTATGAATCCACTGTAACCTTCTGGGGTACCCTGATGGGATACCATAAAATTGACGTGAAATTAAATCAATTCAAATAACGTTTCTCCAAACTTTTTTTCAATTTAAAACCCAAATTAGAAATGTGTCTGCTCTCTGAAACTCAAACGAAAACTCAAAACATAAATACTGCATATTTCCATGACTACAACATTTACAAATCATGGAAAAAAAATAAGTTAGGTGTCAAAAGACAGATTTTTTATTGTTTTGTTTGGGGGGGGGGAGGCGGTGATCAAAATTTTCCTGATGAAATACTATATCCAACAGTTGTTAACCTAGATTTTAATTGAACTTTCCCTCTGACAAATCGTTACAAAAGTTTTTTTTAATGATTCTACAGTAAATCAAAGGGTGAATACGCATTTTGGGTCAGTATTCTCATAGAAGAAGCTCAATACCTTTTTTTCCCCTCTTGCAAAAATTAGTACCACTGTGGCCTACCGCATGCCGTGCGATGCAGTGACTCAACTGGACAATCGTGAACAAATTAGTTGGTTACACCTGACGATTGACCCTGCCACAGATATCAACTCACTGCAATGTGAACCTATGTCCCCCGATGTTCTTATTGGGAAACGTTTTGAGGCACCAGATACAGCATAGTGTGCTGCATTTTTCTTTATTTTCCAAGTACAACAACGAACACGGCATGATGGTCAAGGAAGGAGCTACTGCCCTGGCCAACAGAGATATATTATCATAATGCAAAGAGTGTGTGGATATTACATTATTTTGTGTAAATATGCCTGTACACCCGATTATACTTTCTCTTTCATAAATTGCAAAAGCAATACTTACAATCGCAGTTGGTAATCCAGCATCAACTTTGTCCTGAGGAAAGACATAAATGTTTCATTTCAGCAACAAATGTGTAAATGCTTGAAATGATTGAAATGAATGAAACTGATTGGGAACATTTTGCAGAATGAAACAAAACCCAAATCAATTCAACAAATTCAGTTGTTTCCCCAAAGCCTGAATAACTGAGAGGGAAATCAAATCAATTGATATTGATGCACAGTTAAGAAGCGCTGTTCCTATTGAATATTTCTGCAATCAATTTATTTGACCGATTATTGCATTGATTAATCGGTTCATTAAATTTTTGTTTGTAATGCAAAAAAAGTTTTGCATTACAACGTATTGCAAAATATATTTGGGTTTTTTCGGATGACTATTCATTACTCGATTATTGCATTGATTAATCGGTTCATTAAATTTTTAAAAGAGTTTTGCATTACAACATATTGCAAAATATATTTGGGTTTTTTCGGATGACTATTTATTAATCATTTATTGTTGCTTATTTGGTATTGTTTAATGATGAAACGAAACCAAATCAACAATAACTACTCAAGATCCCATGAGAAGGGACTGACGTTGTACTCACCAATGTCAAATTGAGTATTAACTTTGGGAGCAGATTCATGCAAAGGGCTACTTTTTTTGATATACATGACTTCAGATTTAACAATGTCGATTATAGATTATTCATAATATGACCACGAACAATGATTGTTTTTTTGAAAAAGATTAGATTGACATTTCTTTTTCAACAATTTGATTATCATTCAGAAAATACGGAAAAATGTTGAGCATTGCTTTCCAAAGTAAAATCAAATTTTGCAAATGTCTTTTTTTGATCAAACACAAAATTTAGTCAGCCGGTTTTCACGACGGGCAAGAAGAAATTGGAGAACATTTATTTTTGTAAGGCTGAAATCAGAGGATTTTGGGTTTTTTTTTTGTGAAAATGATACATTTATTATCAAGATAGGTGTTGATTATTTGATGAGTGATTAATTGTCAGTTAATCGATTCATGTTGACACCTCGACAATTTTGTGTCTCATAAAACTGTATGTGATAATACGAACGAAATTGGACTAAAACAAGAAACCAACGCTGAAAGCACAGCAACATTTACATGACACAGTGATAGGGAAATCTATGAGCAAAATGGTATCATGTTTAAAGTTTCATTTAATTTTGGCACGTCGAAACGTTTGGGTGCGTATCCAGCGCTCCCAAATGCCTGTGCGCAAAGGTGCCGGCCGTCTGGGCGGAGGGCTTTTGAAGTCCACAATTATCACGTCAATGCAATACAAATGCTAACAGAGGGAAGAAGGCTAGGCTCCGTCACAAAGTGGGAATGAACAATTCGGGAATAAAGCGTTGTTGAACAACAAAAGACAATTTGAGAATGCCTGTCGCGCCCAGGCGACATTTGTCGTCTGCAAAGTCTGCAACTTGTTGATTCATTGTAGACCAGACAGAAAGGCGTCAACGTACCGGTGGTTCAAAGCTTAAACCAAGGTAACCAATCACTACCGAAGGGCCGGACCGGGGGTGCGGTATGCAAATATCGGGGGCAGTATTTTTCTTGTATTTTGCATATGTAACAATAAAAGTGCAAACTGGAGGACAGGGAACTCTGAGCGTGATTATCGGGGCAACAACTGTCGTTCGCCCTCAGAGATCCCTCCCGCCGTTAATGAAGACAATTTTCCCTGCGTGCCAAGTCATTTATTTTACTTTGTCCGAGAAAAACTCTGAAACACAGCTAGCTAGCTAGCTAGCTAGCTAGCTAGCTAGCTAGCTAGCTAGCTAGATAGATAGATAGATAGATAGATAGATAGATAGATAGATAGATAGAAAAACAGCTTTTTTCCAGGAGATTATCGATAATGAACTTTCAAGTTTTACCGCAGCCGAGACGATCTGCGCAGAGATGCCCTGAAGCATGCTGTGTCGAAGAACCGATCCATGAACTGCCGCTTTCAACTCCACTGCCTTCTTCTTCCTTAAAAGAAGAACATTCAAACATACACAGAAACAATGTTAACAGACACATTCAGAAAAATATCATGCTACATTTTTCAATGTGGTTCCGACCGTGACTGAACATTTTTAGGTACGATACAGTATTCCCTATGTTCACTAGTGATACTCTAATCATGTATCATATTATATTCTGTATTTGTATGTACAAAACCAATTCCGATGAACATTGGTGTTTGATGAGCATTCCTCAACTTGATCGGTCTTTCTTGCCACCTCTCCCAGCTTTTTTGGAACGTGTTGCAGCGATAAAATTCAAAGTTCATGATTATTTGCTCAAAACAGGAAAGTTTATCAGTTTGAACATGAAATATCTTGTCTTTGCAGTGTGTTCATTTAAATACAGGTTGAACATGATTTGCAAATCATTGTACAGGTATTCTGTTTTTCTTTTTGTTTAAACACAATGTGGCAAATTCATTGGAATTGGTTTTGTACTATGTGTAAAACAACGTACCGTATTTTCCGCACTATAAGGTGCACCTAAAAGCATTCAATTTTCTCAAAAGCCGACAGCGCGCCCTATAATACGATGCACCTCATATAAAGAGACTGTAACTGTCTTTATATTCATTGAGTTGTTTCCCTGTTAGTGTTCCTATGCCATCAAGTGGTGAATACTAGCAGGAACCAATTGTAACGTAAAAGGGTTCTGCCCGACACCAATTGACATGTGCATTCGCCATAACACACTCAAAACAATTATGAAACAAAGATCACACCAAAAGCAAAGTTAAGTACTGACACCGGGGGTCGGCACCCCGCGGCTTGAGAGCCACATGCAGTTCCTTAGCGCCACCGTAGTGGCTTCCTGGAGCTTTTTCAAAAAGGTTTGAAAATGAAAAAAAGGAACTATATTTTTTTGTTTTAATATGGTGTTAGAGGAATCTATGAGCAAAATTGTATCATGGTTAAAGTTTCATTTAATTAGGGCACGTCTAAACGTTTGGGTGCGTATCCAGCACCCCCAAATGCCTGTGCACAAAGGCGCCGGCC